TTTATGGCTGATAAGAATGATTGAAGAAAGTTTTTTCTTTTGTTTTTGGTGGTACTCAGGGCTTACACAATTGCTCTACTGCTTGAGCCATGGCTCTCGTAAGAGACACTTGTGTTTGGGCTGGCCTTGAACCTCAATCCTTCAGGTCTCAACTTCCTGAGTAGCTAGAATTGCAGACATGAGCTACTGATACTCCGCCCGTTTGCATTTATTTGTCAGATAGGGTCTCAATTTTTTGCCCAGGCAGGTCTCACACTGCAGTCGTCCTGCCTCTGCCTCTCTTGTAGCTGAGATTACAGACTTACACACCACGCTCACCTTGCTCTTTGAGAAAGTCTTCCCACCTGTTTGTCCAAGGCTGGCCTAGAACTGCAATTGTGTTTCTCCACCAAATGGCTGTGATTATAGGCATGAGCCACTCACTACCCGGTGATGATTGGGTTTTCATACAACTGTAAGATATGCCTCCCTCCAACCTTACTGCAGTGTTAGCACGTTGCCCATCTACAATGAAAAAGACTAAAAGTACAGTGTAGTGTACAAGCGTCTGCTCTTATTGTTATTAGAAGTTTTGTCTTCATGGAAATTGATGGTATAGCCAAGTTCGAGACCTCCCAATGAGCTATATGCCTAGGAGGTAGCCCGCAGTGCTTATGCAAGTAAAACAAAATGTTCTCTGTGAAAATGAGAATGGTAGAAGAGAACATGCTCTTGTAAAATATGTTTCTTTAAGATATTTTGGATTGCCAGGCGCCGGTGGCTCACGCCTGTAACCCTAGCTACTCAGGAGGCTGAGATCTGAGGATCGCGGTTCAAAGCCAGCCCGGGCAGGAGACCTTGAGACTCCTATCTCCAATAAACCACTAGAAAACCGGAAGTGGTGCTGTAGCTCAAGTGGTAGAGCGCTCGCCTTGAGCTGAAGAGCTGAGGGACAGCGCCCAGGCCCAGAGTTCAAGCCCCACAACCGCCAAAAAAAAAAAAAAAAGATATTTTGGATTGCCTGTGACCTGCTGGTACAACGGGATGCATAGGTTGTCAAGACATCCCAAAAGCTTAAAGCAAGGCCAGTGGACTGAATAATCACGGAATCACTTCCAAGCAAAGCAAAGGAGTGTGACTTGCAAGGAGAAGGATCAGGGCATCATCAAGACCAGGTGCAACATAAAGACCAATATATTTGTGCTATAATATTGCCAAGAAAAATGATCATTAACCAGCTGCATTTTACACAAGGACATCTGAAGATACCTAAGATCAGTGGAAAGTACCAAATCGTAGCCTCTCCAACTCAATAAAACTTTGCTCTTCTCTTGTACAGTGGGTTGGGTGCACTGATTTCTCTCAAACTCTTCTCAAACTGATGCCTCCTTGCCTGTGTGTTCATAATTTTAAAGCCAGGCAGGAAGTCAGGCAGTCCACATCCTACTCCCCACCGCCACTTAAAAAAAAAAAAAAGGATGACCAACTTGGTCATCATTGAAATAGAAATGTTTATACAGTCAGATCTTTGATTTAAAAATTAAAATCTACTTATAAAAATTATCCGAAGGGACTGGGAATGTGGCTTAGTAATGGAGTGCTTGCCTTGCATGCATGAGGCCCTGGGTTCGATTCCTCATCACCACATAAGCAAAAAGAAAAAAGCCGGAGGTGGTGCTGTGGCTCACGACGGGACCCAAAAATAAAAAAATTATCAGAAGGGACTGGGAATGTGGCTTAGTGATGGAGTGCTTGCCTAGTATTCATGAGGCCCTGGGTTCAATTCCTCCATACCACATAATTTTTTTAAATTATCAGAAAACAAAAAAGGTCAGATCACCTTTTTATTTGGTATTAGGAATAGAGTTAACATTTAGATTATTTTTGTTTGAATATGTTTATTTTTCATTGTAAACTCATGAACATAGGAAGATATATTTACCACAAGCATCCATCTTATATCTGACAGCTCACAAATGTTTCCATTGTTAATTTTTTCTACAGATTTCTTATAGTGGTTAAGATAAACAGTGTTATGAAGGTAAATCTAGAGATCCTGAAGTGAACACCAAATCAATTCCACCACTGGTGGTAGAGACATGGAAAAATTTGTAGCTAATCAATAAGATCCTATTGTGTGTTATACACTGGATTTAGCTCGTCAGTGTAATCAAGACAAAAGTAGTCTGACTGCTTAAGAATTTATGCAACAGGGCTGGGAAGGTGGCTCTGTGGTAGAGCGCTTGCCTTGCATGCTTGAGGCCCTGGGTTCGATTCCTCAGCACCACATAAGCAAAAAGCAAAAAAACCGGAAGTGGTGCTGTGGCTCAAGTGGTAGAGCGCTAGCCTTGAACTGAAGAGCTGAGGGACAGCGTCCAGACTCAGAGTTCAGGCCCACGACTGGACCCCAAAAAAAAAATTTATGCCGGGTGCTGGTGGCTCACGCCTGTAATCCTAGCTACTCAGGAGGCTGAGATCTGAGGATCCCGGTTCAAAGCCAGCCCGGGCAGGAGAGACCGTGAGACTCCTATCTCCAATAAACTACCAGAAAACTGGAAGTGGCACTGTAGCTCAAGTGGTAGAGCGCTCGCCTTGAGCTGAAGAGGTGAGGGACAGTGCCCAGGCCCAGAGTTCAAGCCCCAGGACCAACAAAAAAAAAAAAATTATGCAACAAATATGACCACACACAAAAGCAATGTTAATAAAAGTATAAGAAATGTGTAAGCTGTGAACTGTTGGCTCACACCTGTAATCTTAGAAGGCTGAGATCTGAGGCTCATGGCTCATAGGTAGCAAACTATGAGACTCTTAACTCCAGTTAACCTCCAGAAAGTAGGAGTTGTGGCTCAAATGGTAGAGTGCCAACTTCGATTAAAAAATATCTAAGGGACAGCACCCAGACCCTGATTACAAGCCCCAGTATTCACACAAAAACTTTCTGCATAACAAAAGAAAGCATTTCCAGGGCTGGGAATGTGGCTTAGTGGTAGAGTGCTTGCCTGGCACGCATGAAGCCCTGGGTTCCATTTCTCAGTACCACATAAACAGAAAAAGCCAAAAGTAGCACTGTGGCTCAAGTGGTAGAGTGCCTTGCCTTGAACAAAAGCAGGTCAGGGACAGTGCCCAGGCCCTGAGTTCAAGCCCCAGTACTGACCCCCGCCCCAAAAGAAATTCCAGGGGGCTGGGAAGGTGGCTCAGTGGTAGAGTGCTTGCCTTGCATTCATGAGGCCCTGGATTCCATTCCTCAGCATCACATAAGCAGAAAAAGTTGGAAGTGGTGCTGTGGCTCAAGTGGTAGAGCGCTAACCTTGAGCTGAAGAGCTGAGAGACAGCGCCCAGGCCCAGAGTTCAGGCCCCACAACCGACCCAAAAAAAAAAAATCCAGAATGTCGAGACAAGCTAGCTATTCCAACAGATAAAGGTTAATACAAGCTAGCTATTCCAACAGATAAAGGTTAATACCAAAATATACAAAGAGCTAAAAAAAAAATAATCCAATCAATAAATGGGGAAAGAAACTTTAAGAAATGTTCATCTTTAGAAATATAAATCAAAACTTCATTTTACCCTACTCAGAATGGTAATCATTAAGAAAACAAATACTGATGGAGATGTGAGGAAAAAAGGCACCCTCATCCACAGTTGGAAGAATGTAAAGTAGTGAAATTGCTACAGGAGTCAGTATGGAGGTTCCTCTAAAGTAAAAGTAGACCTATGTAATGACCCTGCCTTAATCACTACTGATCATATATCCAAAAGATTATAAATCAGCATACCAAAAAGATACTTGCATGTTGATGGTAGCACTGCTAACAATTGCCACGTGTTGTAATCATGCAAAGGTCCCAAAAATGGATTAGAAAAATTTGGCACATATATACCATGGAATATTATGTAGAGAAAAACGAACCAACCTGCGGTTCATACTGTTGAGGGAGTAAGCAAATAGCCAAATATAACATGTTTTTTTCTCATTTGTAATAGAGCCAATAATATACCTATTATTTATGGTCATGTACATATATGTGTATATAAATATATAATTTGATTTTAACTTGTCAGTTTAGAGGAGGATAGATGAGAAAGAATGAGAGATAGGTGAGTAATTTTGAAATACATTTTACTGTGTATGAAAATGGTATGAGTCTCAAAGTGGTAAATCAACTTGGGGACAGGGAAGAAAAAACAGTAACATTCTGATTGCCTTTCAGTCTGTACAAGGATTTCTTAAAATGAAGTTTTAATTTTGTTTACACTTTTTAAAAAGGTTTTATTGTTATTAAAAAGGTGATATACAGAGAGATTATAGTTACATAATTTACTAGGTAAAGAGTACATTTCTTTTGTGATCATGTCACCCCTTCCCTACAACAATGTTTTTTAAAAGGCAAAACCCATAGAATAAGTTCCTCCTTTTCCCCCTACTCTAAATGTAGAACTATATTTCATGCATTCAAGGAAGGAACTGGGAAAAGAAAATAAAAACAAAAAAAAACATAATGGGAAACTAGTCATGATCCAAAGTGGATGACTAGAATCAAGATGGTGATGAGTGTGAACCATGACTTTGAACAAATGGGTAACACCTCCACTAGAACCATGGAAGTCCTCAGGGCCTGCATGTCCACCTGCTACTTTTTCCTATTTATCCTATCCTTGTGTAAATTATCTTGGTCTTGGTTTCTTTGTTTTTGTTTGTTTATTTAAAATAGCATCCTAAATTCTTAGTGGAATCAAGGAAATATATTTGTGTGTATACACATTCAATATATATATATGTATATATATATTAATTATCCACCCTCTTAGTCTTGGACATGAAGGGGAAGTTACTAATTGAATGTTCTTTAGCATTAAACCAATAGTCAGTTGAGATAACTACTGTGGACACTTGAAAACAGACATTGATAATCTCACAGCCATAACCCAGCAAGCATAAGTAGCTTGCTGAACAAATGACACAGAAGATGGTCCAAGGTATCCAAGTGATATTTTAATAGAGACACCACATATTTGAGTTTATATGAACTGGTATTTGCAGAGTTGTATGTATCATTGAATTTTTATATAAATTTCTATATTTTTCTTCATATATATGTATGGTCTTAAAAAATAAGTGTTTAGTAAAGTTTATACCTAGTCCCATGAACTTCAAAACAATATAGAGGATATAATAGTGCCATCATTGAAGAGAGCACAAGATAAAATTTCAATACTAGAAAAAGTACTCATAAGAATCTTAAGTTTTATACCATAGTGGGGGTTAGACGTCTACAAAACTTAATGCCAACTATCCATATATGACATCCCTCAGAAGCATGAATTACAACTGTACATCAGAATTGAGCAATAAGAATTCACAGGGGAGAATTCTTTAAATTTTCCTCTTTCTAATCTTGAAGCTGAAGCTATATCATAGGTCTCAATCTTTTTTAAGTTTTTAAACAGATAAGATTCTTTGAAAACATGAAGCATTCAATCTTCTACTTTCTTTTCTATCGAACAATAAAATAAGAGGCTTTAAAGTGTTACATCCTTTTGGATATTCCAAAGTGTATCTGCACTCTTCTTAAGAAGATTCTCTTCTTCAGAATTCAAGTTCATCTTCACAATATCTGAGATGCCATTTCGCCCCAAGATACAGGGGATACTGAGAAAGACTTCCTCATTTACTCCATATGAGCCCTGGAATACAAGATTCGATTATTGCTTAGTAACCCAATATGGAAAAGCAGTTGTGCAAGACAGACACTATGACCTTATCAACAAGAATTACCCACAGTTCAGCAGTGATTCTACATAAAACCAAGGGTGTCCTTATGGTATGTGGCCATATGTTGAGTGACAAGAAGAATGTGCCAGAGGTACATCTACCCCTTATTAGACCATCTTTATAAGCAAGGGGAAGGATTCTATGTACTCCCCTTGCAACCATTTTATCTGATGCAGGACTAATATCCATCAGCTTGTGTCTGGTTCATCAAGGGAACAGTGAAAGTTAAAAAAAAAAAATGACTGGGAAGGCTTTCCTTTACCTTTATATCAGAGAGCACCACTGAGTTTGGACAACACCTGCTCCAGGTGGCATGTCAAGCCTCCAGATGACGTTCTCAGTGGAGCCTATGGGTCCTCTTAAATCACTGGCAGAACCTATATCCTTCCTCTCACCAATTGCCATGGAATGTACTCCTCCCTCCATTGGAGTGCTATCAAAGACCTCCTACGGTGGATGGTGCATGGGATGGTGCAGCCCCCCCCCACACACACACATTCAGGCTCAGTCGTGGGCTGTGGAATCCCTGGCCAGTCAATCCAGTGTTCCTTCCATGCCTGCAGTCAAAGCCAAGGCTACAGACGCAGCTGTGAGAAGCAATGACAACCTGGGAAACGCACTCATCTGAACCAGCCTCTGCCATCTCCATACTGCCCACCCCTCCCTGCCCCTGGGAGATAAGGAGACCCAGCAGACTCTCCGTAGCTCTCTGCCTTTTACCACTCATCTTTCTTCAGCTCTCATTTGGGACTGGATCTGGATTTAGGAAAGGCAATGGGAGGACCTTGACTGTAAGCAGCTTCTAAGAGGTGTAACTGAGGGAAATGAGAAGACCTTTGACACTGGAGCAGTGTCCTTCAGCTTCCCCCACTAGCTCAGACATGCTTCCTAGTCACTCTGCCTGAGGCCTTCCTCAGGACCACAAGGTACGTGCTCCTTGATCTTAGTTTGTTCTGGTGCCTGCTGCTGAGAAGCTATCTTACTACCTCCTCCAGCCCTGCCTTTAGGAGTG